AGCAATGAGCTTGTCCACTAAATATGGAACAATCCCAATTCTATAAATCCTCTAAAAAAGTGGTGCTCAACCACCCTTAAATGTGTACTCAAATTACTGGTGTGCCATCATTGCCAAGAATCTAATCCTGGGTTTGTCAACCATGTAGAACATGAACTAAATACTTAACATGCTCTAGGTAGCAGTGTTCAACCATTCTTAGATATTGACCCTAAATGTTTGTGTTGTATTGTTGTCAAGAATGTAGATATCATTGAGCTTGTCTACCAAACATGAAATGTGTTTAATCCTCTACATCCTCAATGGTAGTGATCATGCGCCCTAATTGCTGGTGCGCCATCCTTTAGTGACTACCAAATGGCACATTTCAAAAGTATAATTAGAGATATTATTTTTAAAGCATCCTGTTAACCGGGGGCCCGAGAAACTCATTTTTGGGGTCCTGATACACAGTTTGTATGTTTCCACACTAAAGCTATAGCTTCCTATGCTGTTAAAAAAAAGCTATGGACTATGCAGAAGGAAATCAGCAGTACAAAACTAAGGGACTGAGATGTAATTAAACTAAAATGAAATCTTCTTTATGAAACATAACTGAAATCCCTTAGTGAAAACATACAGCTATGCGGAGTAGGTTAGGGGATTGGATGCAACTAAGCAACTCTTCACAAATGGGCGGTGTCTCATAAGTCATTTGGCACCATTTTCCAGCACTGAGACCAATGTGTTCTAACGATCTGTATAAATGAAATTTGACAGGTCTCAGTTCTGGGCAGTGTACCAGAAATAGCATAGAATATCTGTGTGGTCTTTTAAAGTTGACCTGTCAGTTACCCATCAAAACTATATCTTAACAGATACAGTTAATAACACAATTTGTGTTTTATTAATATTTCACTGACCATGTTGTAACTATATACATCCTTCCATATTCTTTTTTTACATACATTAAGCTAACATCATTTAGCCAGTCCTACTGATAATACGAACTATCCCAACATTAAATACAGTCATTTAATGTGTATGTCCTGGCCTTACCCAAATGTACTTCTATACTTCTCTCACCAGTCCTTTACAGCATGTCCCAGTGTTACTTTTGTTTTTACCTTGTTACTGTAGTGAGAAACATCTTTATTACTCCCTATGCAATCATCACCAGACTTGTAAGATTATTGCAGATACAGCTGCTGGGAGCTCATAACCTGTTGACATACAGTAGACATACCTCCAGAACTACATCTCCTAAGAGATGTAGGCTTGCTCTTTGGAGTCAAGGTTGTAGCATAGTTTTGCTGGGAAATAAATCAATATATGCATGTGGAGAGGGACAGAAATGCCCTTCAAGAAGATGACAGCCGTGGTGAAGAACATCATGAAGCTGCATTGCTGGAATATGGCAAACTCTGTGGTAAGTTTGCCATCATGTGCAAATATACTTGCACGTTATGGAAAGAGCTCCCAACACACCGCTGACACTTCATACTGTTTTAAAATATAACTTCAATTTCACTAAATGTGATCCGTTTAGTATTTGTCCCTAAAGCCTCTAAAAATGCCAATATACAGCAATACCTTACTGAAGGATAGTCCCTTGTATCCAGCATCCTACATTCAGATGTACTCTTAGAATGTTCAATCAGCTCAATGCAGAGCAGGTCTACTTTCTCCAAAACATCACCCTCTACTGGTGGCCAGGACCAGCTTGTGTACAGCAAAAGAGGTAGCAAACACAAAGCTAGTCCATGGTGCTGGAAACAGGATTTATCTTTAGAAAAATTAACCCACATCATATTGGCATTTCTGTTGCTACAGAGACAAGTATAAAAGCATAATTTTTCATGAAAGGGCACATACACTTTAATGTTGTAGTCTTGATTTTTGTAACACAAGTGTAAATCAAACAGCATTTATACTCAAACAAGAATTTAGTTTTGCTGTGCATTTGTTGTGGCGATCTGTGCATTTGTGTCCAATTACATCTACCCTCGAGGAAATCTTGCCATTTTTAAAATGACAATCACAAAGATCCAGGGACAACAGCTGCAGGATTACGACATTCCCCTCTATCCCTCTCGTGAAGCGCGGAAATTGACTAAAGGCGTCTCGTGTGAGAGTCAGACTGGGGGAACCTTGGTATGACTAAGTTTGTACACAGAGCCAGGCACATGACTGTAACACGCTTTTAATCATTGCATAATGTGTTTGTTAGGACAGCCTCTTGTATATTGCTCACAAAAACTCTACTCTAGTAAGCCTAAACTTTTAATGTTTCCTGTTTTTAACTCAGCCCTGATATATTTCACTCCCACATAAGGAGACACTGATCAAGGTGGTGGCTTCATGTGGTGAATCTAAAGTCTATTGCTAAACAGTAATTATGGATTTCCTGTATTTTTCAATACATCATTTTAGTGTTCCGTGTCTCCGCACCTCCTGTAGTTGTGGTACTACATTGAACTTCCTAAAAATTCTATTTGCTAAACTCAAATGTTTCCTTGGGGTTAAATTCAAAATCAGTTATTAACAGCAGTTTTTCAAAGGCACTTATGGCATCTGTATTGTCTCTAGGGATCTAGTATTTTTCAGAATTCTCTTCTGTATTTTGTGTAATCTTTAGGAAGCAGCAGGGTCAACCTACAGTATATGTTTCTCCTTGTAAGTGTTCCCTAAACACAGACCATTTTTCTTTCTGCTAGAAGCTGTTGAGCAGGCCTCTGTGTACAAAGGGTTAACAATTAGCGTTAGGAATCATTAACCACGCAGTCAATCACCTTGAGTCTGGGATCAGCGGTTTGAGCTGGCGAGATGTTCAATGTTTGGGTTGCTCCCTGCCATGTGGTTGAGTCTAGTGAGCTGTGATCTGTCCTTCTTCTTTTTGGCCTTAGGGCCAAAGGGTTGGAAGTTGCTCCTGAGAACATTATAAATAAAGCATGGTGGATTAATAAAAACAAAAAAATTATAGAAAAAAAAGGGCAATCAGCCATTCCAAGCCTTTATAAAGGGACTGTATAGACCCTTGTTGCCCAACCTGCAGCCCCAGGGCCACAAGTGTGCCTCTTCTGCTTGCTGCATTGCTCTTGGAACCCTAGTAATCAGTAGTGGGTATGGAAGCATCAATCTAAGAAAGAGGTTGTAATAGCGTTAAGCTCTAGAAGTAGCAGATAACATGTCCCTTGTCTCTGACTATCCCCTTCAGCAAATCTCCCATCTCCAACCATACTTGTATCATGTCCACAGTCTCTGACCATCTTGTTGAGTAAGTCTGCAGTCTCTGACCATTTCCTTTAGAAGGTATTGGGTCTCCAGTCAACAGGTTTCCAGTCTCCCACCACACCAGAAGAATGTCTACATTATCTGATCATCTCCTGTAATATGGCTAAAGTCTCTGACCATCTCCTGTGGTAAGTTTCCAGTCTCTGATCACCTCATGAAGTATGCGTGCAGTCTCTGGCAGTTTTCTGTGGAATTTACTGAATATTATGTGCAGTCCCTTGGTGATGTCAGAGCCAATTTGGAGGCCCCCTATACCTCATAAGTTGACAATCACTGGTATAGACACAGCACGTCAAATGCCTCTAGATCCCTTCTTGTAATAAGCCCTTTCCTCAGAGATTTATGTTTACTGACATAGAACATAGTTTTTAAAAAAATCTGGAGGTTGACTTAGGGGGCTTACTACAATATTAAATTCACACCACACGTCAGTGGTGATTCTTGATTCTTGACTAACATTTGCTCAGACGGATTCAATGCATCTGATCAATTATTTATTCAACGAAAACAATACATTATGAACTTGGAAACCAAATGCATTATTGGCCCAGATGGCTTTTGCAGCACATTTGTTTCTAACCTCCATTGAATATGATGCAAAACCCATAGTTTCCCAGAAACAGTAATGACATTGTATTCCTATCTGCACGATGGACTAACTTGTTAAACCCGGGAAGGCTCATATGGTATCTACTTTATTGAGAATCAAATTCCAGCAAAAACACTTTTTGAAAACATGAATTTGTTAGGTATCCGTTGCAAAGATGTTCTTTATTGTTTACATAAGGTCTACATGCCCTGTAGGTAAAGACCTTAATTCTGTTTTAAATATGAAATGTTATTTGCAGATATTGATACATTGATAATACCCAAGCCTTTGTCGACCCTTCCCTCGGGTAAAAAAGTTACACTTCCCCACATGTCTGGACATGGATATCGTCCCATAGTGATGACTTCATACTGACTCAGTGCTGATCTCTCTAATAGGCTACCAGATGTCTTTGGGTCATAAAGGAAACCTGATCCGAGTTGTGCTTTTATTTTTTCAGACTACTCCCTCATTTTAAATCTTGGACCATGGGAGCAGGTTATGTAGGAGAGTGAAATCCAAATATCCCAGATTGGGGTTGTAAATTTTTTGGAAACGCAAAGCCATATGTAACATAAATTAAATGGATTTATCAAGTAATATAATACACTATACTGTATATGACATATGGAATTCTTGAATTTTTTTCTACTTTGTTATATAGTTTTGTTTTTCTTTTGATATGTTACAGCATTGCATTAATTATTGCAGCATGAATAAGGTATTGCATTGAAGTTATTGTGAATGTAATTTCAAAAGCAGTTTTCAATATTTTTTAATCTCTAGCTTTCTTTGAAATAATACCTGATTATCTTGCCATGAATGTAATCATTCAGGCATTGCAGACACAAGGTGACAACTCTCTGTTCCTGTCTCTTAATTGTGATGTGCTTTGTCACACTTTCATATGGGCTTCTGAAAGAGAGTATAAGGGGGCCATTTCAGCACATATTAGGCAGGCATGGTCCACTGTTGTCACCATCAGGGAATCCGGTAGGTGAAATGCCATGCAGCCATCGCCGGTGTGCATGTGGATAGCAATTGACTGCAGAGACATTTGTTAGAAACTAGTTTGTAAATGTTACATATACAGGAAATGTTAAAATGTTAAAAACGGTCTTACCCCATTTTTGCAAGCTTTGCACTTCTCTTTCATTAAAAGCAGCTTGGTTTCGTATTCTGGTCTTGGATGCTCCTACACAAGAAAATAAAACCCGGGGCACCATGTTAGTAATTGTTCACTGTTCTTCTGCAGACGTCAAACACGACCAATAGAGGACAATACACCGAGTCACAGCTGAGTTTGGTGTTTACGTTTTGGCACCATAGGACACGATTAAACACAGTCACTAGAATTGGAGGGATCAAACACTTGAGGACACGCAAAGGTCTAACAAAAGGGAAACAAGTCAAACCTTTATACGTTCCTTGGTGCATATTCAATGGTGGAAAAGGAGAGAAAACATATTATAAGCATAAGCCAAGCAGGAAAAAAAAAGCCAGATATATTTCTTTTTCTTTCACAAAAACCACAAGGTTTATTCAATAAGAAGTTGTTTTGTTAGCAAAACCCTTGTCAATTTGAGCTTGGAACACAATGTGTATAGTTCTGGAATGCGCACAGGGTTTTACAGTCTACACAAGAAAAAGGAATAGACCAGGGACTACCCAGTAAAAACTGTTACCATGTCTACATTAGGGAATGTTTACAAAGCCCAGTGCCAGAATCAAATCCATAGCAGCTCACATAGTTGCTATGGGCCCCCAAAGCATGGGGGGGCCTGTTATGAGATCTCCTTCCTGCCTGTCATTGACCTATTGACAACAGAAAGACAACTTCTCTGCAGATTTCTTATTCTTATGTGTCTTTATTTCTGTCTGAAACTTCTTTACGGACAGTTTCCCTCAAGACAAGTGAAATGATGTTGGTAAAATAAATTTACTGCAAAATTGCTGTTTTCAGAAACTCTCATTACGCTCATTGAGCAGCTTCGGCAAAATGTGTTTAAAGCAACACTGTCACTTTGGCCATACAGGCATGCTGACAGTTTCTCTGGTAAGGACAACCCCTGACCCCTTTAAACTCCCCTTACCTTCATTTCCTTGCAGATTTTCTGCAGCTGAGATCAGGTTAGACCCCAGTCACATGACAGTGCTTGGGCCAGTGATTGGCTGCTACTAGGCCCGGCCAGCATCACAGAGGAGTAGATCAAATGCATACCTGGAATTCTCACCAGCTGCCAGTTTAGGGGGTTTCAAAAGGGGGGAGCCCTTTCCAGAGTCCCTGCATAGCCAAGGTGATAATGTCTCCTTAAGCCAAAAAACTTCTTTTTTTTTTCCTTTTTATTTAAAGGATATGGCTTTTTATGTATTTAGTATAGTTTCATTTATTTCATAAAGTGTTCTATGAAGTTTTTCTCTATTTTTTTGTGTATTTATTCTTTCTGTGACAAAATAATGAGGCCGAAAATGAGGGGGCCAATGTTTGTCAGAAGAACATTTCAAGCTTAATTAAAAGGGTTTTCTGTAACCCCCAGGAGCCATTTTGTACCCTAATTTTACCTTCCCCATTGACTCCAATACATTTGTCTGAAAATACCAAAATTTTATCCCAAACTTTTAGTTTTTTTGCTGAAATGTTATTGCTGAAATGATAAGGAAATTAAAAATCTCAATTTCACTCATCACTAATAAAAACATTGCCCGTAGTGCTAACTCTTCCTCATTCTACTAAAATGTGTTTCTGTTCTAATATGCCACTTTGGGTTCCCTCTTGAGGCTGTTCATGTGACCCATGTCATGACATATGCCATGTGTTTTTTACTGACACAACCAATAAGCATCTCTGCTTACAAAGTGGTCATTCTCTGTGGCCCACTTCAGAAGGGAGCCTGGAGAAGCAGCTTATTTAGGAAAAATGTAAGAAACTTGTCCAAAACCCAATTAGACCTGTGTTTGGATGTTATATCTGCTTGGAAGCCATCATAAGATGGAAATGGCTTGACATAGTACATGCATTGAGATACTGAAAAACTGAAAATGTAGTTTGCTTATAGATTAAACATTTTCAGATATTGTCTTTGTTATGCCAGTTTGATCTATGAAGACATAATAAAGGGAGAACAGATGTAAACTGTTATAGAGGGAATCCAAGGAATTTCTAAATGTTTCTTTTGCAATGTGCATATTTTCATCGTAAGTAGCCCAATGTGTTTAATACAAAAATTAGATTAGAAATTATTAACTAGATATTTACAGAGAAACACAGATAAGGCAGGTGCTAGAATTAAAGAGGCAGCCCGCTGGCATAGGATGTTGCATTTTTATCTGTATTGTGTCACTAATTGGCTTACATCTATTAAAGACTTAAGCTGGCCATACACTGTGCGAAGTTTAGCCGATTCTTGATGAACCAGGCGAAATTTGTTCAGTGGGTGCCCCAGTCAGCACCCTTACTCCCGGCATACTTCAATCAGAAGATTGAAGGAGTCTGATGGAAAGTCTTTGGGCAAACAGTGATGACAGCTTATCAGCTATTGTCACTGTTCAAGTATTCTGACAGCGGCCGTTGTTATATACAAAGAAAACAGCGGGAGATTCATCCATCCACACTATTTAGTGTGAATGGAGGCATCTGTTATATGTATTTCATTCAGCCTTAAAAAAAATATAGCGATGTATGCCCAGCTTTAAGCAGTGTGCCGCATTAGCAGACTTCCTGGCTGCCCCATCACAGCCATTATGATGCTAAGCAGGAGGGACCCACAACTCCTGCTAATAAAATGGAGTTTTAAAGAGGTTAAAACAAAATATAAATAAATAGCCAAATAAGAGTAAAAATAAAAAAGCAGCTTTTGCTGCAATACTCGCCTTCAATCAATAGCTGTCACCTGCAATAATTCCTTCCTGCTTCTTAATGTTGCCATTCTTCTGGGTTGAATGAAGTCAATGGGTTGTCATAGGTCAACCCATTGTGGCAATGTCATCACACTGCTGGGCTTAGAGCAGTATACAGTAACCCACATCTTGTGTTGTGGTGTGCTGCAGTGAGCTATAATGCAGGCATTGTGTATGTGTGTGTTGCACTACCATTCAACATGAAGAGCAACACACACACACACCTCGCTTTACAGTGCGCACATTTTACTGTAGCACACTAGATTTGGACAGGCACTCAATGTCCTTCCAAGTAATCATTGCAGCTGCAGGAATTTCTTTGCTATATTATATGGAAAATTTATAAAGGAATTATCATTTTCCCAGAAAATGCTCTTTAATTGGTCACAGATATTTTCCAGCATTGAACAGACTGGGATTCAACTCTGATAAACTCTGCAATGCATGTGTGTAAAATGGCATTAAATTATGTTTTACTCTTACTCTTTACTTTTATTCTTCATTTATTATTGGTATTTATAACCAATTTACTAACCTGTTGCACTGTGAATCAGGACTCACAATATTAAGCACAGCACCACCAACTGGTAAAACTGGGCATCACAGCCTATCTCTTTGTAGTTCTGTACCCCACACGTTAGGATTTCCAATGGATTTTTTGCTTGGAAATGCAGCACCCCCTACAATAGTTATACTAGTCTTCCTTTTGCTCTCCCACCAGCCCACTGCAAAATCCCTGCATAAGTTCATGTTAGGTTTGGGTTGGAGAATACTCAGGGCTAAAGACCCTCTTCATGTAGAGCCTCCTGGTTTAAATGACAGCCAGGGTCACTCAACCCAATTCCTCTGAGCCTAGGCTCTCACAGACCCACCCCCTGGTGTGGCATCATTATGGTGGCCTAGCCTCAGAGTATTACTGTACAGAAAGGCGCTCACACATCTTTGCACAGAAGGAAGGATCCATGACATCTTTGGACTAGCCAGAAAACCATAACACTGTAGTTTGTTGACCGAGGAAGTGACCAATTGCTTTGGGGAATCAATGAGGATTTTTCTCCCTATTGAAGCAAACTGAAACATGTTTTAAACGGGTTTTTTTTCTTTCTCTGGATCATCTGTAGCATTAAGGTTCTGAGTATTTAAGTTTTTTCATTCATTTATCCATTTATTGGAACTAAGCCAAAAAAGAAGAAGAAAAGATGGGGCTTTGAAAGTGTCTACTAACTAATTTATTGGAACTAGATGGATATAACTTTTTAAGCTAACTATGTAACGCTACATTTTGACAGATTTTAATGCTTTACGTTTATAATTAAACTTTTGATACAGAAAAACAAGGTGAATGAAAGTTTCACTAGTTCATATCTTCCCATCAGTAAGAAAATATTGCCTTTTAATAGACATCACGGGGCCTGGGAGCATGTGCGCTTCTAATAATTTATGAAAGAAAACAAAAGCCCATTCAAAGCACATTAAAATTAATGCAGAACTAAACCCACATTGAATTAATAATAGTGTTCACTGTGAAAAATGTTTATTTGACATAAACCAGTTAGAAGTCATATAATTACAGTATAATAATGACAGAAACAGTTTTGATGCTGGATTACGACGAAACAGAAGCAGCATAAAGCTGTGACCATAGCAGCCAGATTTCATTTTAATGTGCTTGATGGCTAGTTGCTATGGCTAACTGCTGCACATGTGCTTCTGCTTTCATACATCAGCTATATAGATGCTCTAAATATCAGAAATAGAAACCTGTCACTGCTGTCCTCTCCTTCTAAAAATGCTAGTTGCCTAGCTGTTATGCCAAAGCTTGGCTTCAGTCATTTCACTGGCCAGAAATGAGTATGCAAATAGGGAATTATGACTTTTCTCTATGGCTTTTGTAGGTCTGTGAAAGTGTTGAGGCCAAAAACAACCACGCAACAGCAGTTTTGTAAGAAAATTAGCAATACAGTACATCTATTTATTTTGTAATAGGTCTAATTTAAAGTGACTTTTCACTCTAAGAAATAAAAAAAACTGCAGTACTGCACATTTAGAGCTCATTGCACCCTTAAAAACTGGGGATGAGATCAGATTTGAATTGAACCTGGTACGAACCTATGCTCCTCCGAACCCGGAAGGAGCATCTACTGATCATGGAAAGAAGCTCCACCTCTGACATTCAATCAGCTGTGGACAGGGAAGCTTGGCATAAGCAAAGCAGTGGGGTGCAGTGATGTCACTGACATTATACATTATGACTACATGGTTATTTTAAGTAAGTGACATTTACCTAATATGGCCATGAGGCCATGTAAGGTAAATTACATCAGCACAAGCTTACCGCCTCTTTGTTTATGGTCAGCTGTGGGGCGGAAAATGCTCCAAGCCACAGCTGATTGGGCGGGAAGTCCATGTTCAGATGAGATTAGGTTAGGACCATGCTTGTTCCAGGTCTGTGGCACTGAAACCAGAGACAGTAGGGGAATGAGCATTTTCAGAAGTCAGCAATGGAGGACTCCGTATTTCTGTTAGAATAAGTTTAATTTAACTTAAATTGTACCTTTTCTTTTTTTCTAATCTGTCAGCCTCATAGGCTCAGTTTTAAAAGTCTTTAGGCAGGATCTGAAGTCACAGATTCTATAGGGTAAGACTGTTGCAAATTTCGGTGTCCCAGATGCTGATTTGCAAGAGGAGAATCAAAAACACTGCCTGGAACGTCAGCACTCATGAGCCCTTGGGGCATTGAGTTTACATCTATTTTTCATCAGCAGAAACCTTTGGGCTCCTTCCTGAATCCTCACATCTATTAGTTGGAAAATAATAAAGCAGCTTTTGCCGCCTCCTAGGTTTCATATGGTGTATAACAAGTCAAGATATCATATATCCATCTAACCACAAATGGCTAGCCAAAAGTGAAAAATAGACGTTTTCGTGAAGAATGGTTATCCCCCAAACACTGTCAAGATGGAGTAGAACTTTCCTAAACACTGTCAAGTCTAATCGATCAAGAAAAAAGCAAAGTGCAATCTAACTCATGTCAACCAATCAGAATTCAACTTTCATTAATCCGAATTCTACAGTCTGTTAGGTTGCTATTGGAGCTTAGTATACTGCAGTTCAGATTTGTTCTTTCCATTGCTTTGGCATTGGTCCTGTAGGCTCCTTGCAAGCCCCAGAGCAGCAGATAAGTATAAAACACACTTTGCTGGTAAATAAGACTATAGCTTTGAGGAAGGAGTGCGGGTAGATTTTTTGTATTGATTATAGATCCTGTTTTAGGCTTTAAATACATATGTGTGAATTTATTTTGCATTGTTGAATTAAGGCAGTCCATTCACTTTTAATAGGTCCTTAACTGACCTCAATGCATGAGAAAATGCACCTGCACTATTTTCGGCCATTGCACCATAAAACACATTGCATTCACATCATGTATTGTTGTGTTCTAAAGTACAAGTACATTTGCTTATACAGTATATGTGCATGGTGGTACAATTCGGAAAGAAAGTCATCACACATATATAGTATTTTGCCATGCATTTGTGTAACTCCAAGCCATAAGTGGAAAGCCAGCCTTAGAAAGCATTTTAGAAATTCGTAGATGTTGCTTATTGACTGTTGAATCACATTGACTTTAAAGAATAAAACTATGTGCTTTATTGCTTATAATCAGCAGTGGAATACTGATGTTCATGGAGCAGTCTAGAATTCAATGGAGCATTTTGCAGTACTGGTGCCAGGTTGTCAGTTTCTGTATGTTCTTTTAAAAACCACTTCTGATTTTAATTAAGCTATTTTTTTAAATCAAGATTGAAGACTTACTTCTTCTTCTTCTAAGCCTGTAAGGTCCCAAAAGTAGCTTAACCTCATCTGCAAGCGTTTCCAGTGTTCAAGGAATAAGGTAGCTGGAAGTCAAAAGGAATAACAGTTAAGGTGAAGCCAACGAGGACAAAAAAGAGGCAAGATTGCTGATGATCTATAAGGCATCTCTAGGAACTTTTTAAAGGAGATGTATATCCTTTTCAGTTATCAGCTATAAATGTAGAAGACATCTGCTTGATGTAAATAATGATTTTATCGTTGCTTAAAAACTTTGTTTCTATGTCTAGTTTGTATATCTGTAATTATATAAGTACATAGAGGCAGCCAAATTTACACACTACATGCTCTGAGTGCAAGTATACTGTAAATGAACCGCGTTAAGGATTTTATCTGAGACATATCCTGATTGATGATTTAAAGATTACACACTGATCTTCAACAGATACAGGAGTGTCATTTGTAGTTATAGTGTATTTTGTGGCTGGTTGCAAGCTGGTGTGTGCACCCTGTCAGCGGATCCACTGTTCATATGTTCATAATATTGGGCAGAAGACTACTCCATCCGGCAATATGTGCATAAGTGTAGATGATAGGTGTAATCAAACAAATATACATTGTCCAGCAAAGTATGTCTTTTTATTTATCCCCAAGGATATACAGTCATCGTGTTTACAAACAACTCTATCAGCTCTGCTTTCCTGAACTTCCTGTCCAGTACAAAATTGCACGGGACAAAGCAGTCTTCAGCAGATGTCTATCTACTGGCTTAGATAACGAAGGAGGATAAATGAGAGGGGAGCAGGTAGAGGGGAGTATCTTGCCTTGCTGTGCCTGTGGGTTTGTGGAGACACACGCAGCTTACTAGCACATACAAGAGTGGCTCCATAGAACCCTGCAAGGGAAAGGAGCCACCCTAAAAAAGGATATCAGAGCCAGTGCTCAGGGGATGAACTGATTCTTCAGGAAACTAAAACTTTTAAACATCAAGAAGCAGAATCTATTGCAAGTGCTTTAATCAGCATTTAAAATAGCTTAAAAACTTTTTGACATTAATATACGTGCTGGAGGTGGGATCTCACTGGGGAAAGACCAGTCTGTGTGATGGAGGTGGGATCTCACTGGGGAAAAACCAGTCTGTGTAAAGGAGATTGGATCTCTCTGGGGAAAGATCAGTCTGTGTGCTGGAGGTTGGATCTCACTGGGGAAAGACCAGTCTGTGTGATAGAGGTGGGGTCTCACTGGGGAAAGAGCAATCTGTGTGCTGGAGGTGGGATATCACTGGCAAAGTGAAAGTAGAGCTTAGAAATTCTATACTATAGGATATTGTATTTTTATTTTGAGATAGCTTTGTACATCTTTCTCTTTACCTCCTGCTGAAAAATATGCTATTTACAGAGCTCGGTAGCTCATGACCTAAACAGGAGTCTATGTTCGTTGTAATCAGATAGTGGACTTTCTGTGTTGTAATGAGGAAAGTTGCAGTGTCAGCATCCTATTAGTAGGAATTGTCCCAGTCACTAAGAACTTCTAAATGTTGGTATGTGTCATGAAGGACATAAAATCCTAGACTTTAAAATGCAGGCTAGGCATGTATTGGTTCCAGCATTATTATCCATAGTTTTAAAAACTGAAAGCGGGGCTAAACAAATTGTGTCTAAATAAAAAGACTATTAAGAGTATTCTAATGAAATCTTGGTGTCTTTTGTGTACGTCTTCTAGTTCTGTGCAGTTGTCGAGCTTGAGACAGGTCCTGCACTCCATCTCTGTTCCTACAAAAAAAAAAGGCTGGTCACTGATGGTCTCTAGCCTTAAGTAGGGTGACTGGTCTTGTATCTGTCCCCCTCCTGTAGTTTTTTTGTTGGGTCCCTCCCCATAGCTATGCTCTCTGCACAGAATATATGTACAGCATGGTGATTAGGTCATCACTACTTTCACAAGGTAATAATATGTGTGTTTGGAACACACGTACGACATCTATATTCTTGGTGGCTATTGGCGAATGTTATTAAATTTCACGCCCGGAGTTCAGCTTTAGAATCATGCAACAAGATGCTGCAAATCCCCCCTAAAAACCCCAAAAGAAGAGTAAAAAGCTAACAGTAAATTGACTTCTATGACTTTAGAAGATTTGAACTGTTTCCAGGCTAGACTTAGCACTTCACCGATCGTTTTTAGCTGACCTTTATTTTTTTAAGGCAGTCTTAAAGGACATTTTTTATTTCCTACTTCTAGCTAAAGCTAAGTTTACAATTAGCTATACCTGCAAGCCAGAGTTTAATTCAATTTTTACAGGAAAAGGGAATTTTTCCAATCAGATATCAGAGTGGAATATGAGCACGGAGCCATTATAACGGCCTTTTAACAAATTGCCTGCTTCTTCAAAGAACAAGAAAGTCACTGAGAATGAATGCACCCCCTCCCCCAATTAGACCGAATCAATGGAGCATAGACCGCTCATTGTCCTATTCCTGAAATGTACATGTGAGTAATAATGTATGACAGTTTTCCCGCAATCTATGCACTGTCTGCTAGCGATGGGTAAGAGTAGATGACCCTGCTACGCTCAGCACAATGGGAGTGTCAATCAGCACACAGAATGTCCAATATAAGCAGAGTATTCTGCTCAGAACATATTGTAACTGGACGCCTAAATTCAGGATGAGTCAGGCTTACATAAGGATCCAGTGTCTGACTTGGAAAGGTTTATTCTACTCAGTTTCCGATGCACAAAAAGGATCACTGGTCTTAACTTTCTTGAAAGTCCTAAAGGATCAGTCCATCCAATATTGACATTTCAGTTTATGCCTGTGGGCATCGATCTCTCAGTTTTCGGGCTCAACTCACCAACCAGTACAAGGGGGTCTCATACTTAGTGCTAAATTTCCACTTATTTCATATGAATTTGGCACTCCAAAGCTTATGGCTGATCACTTAAAGTAGAACTATAGCGTCCTATTAACAGACATACATATACGGCACTTAATTATAATTGAATCTGGAGTTACATTTTTCTCTGTGATGGTGTGGCAACGATGCTTCACTGCTCCTGAATTCAGAACAACGTTGCCACTCTCATGTAGGCTGTGCCTGTTTGCACTACCTTTGGATGAAATTTTTTTGCCATTGTCATTGATGACACACAAGCCTGTAACTTGTCAATCAGCACCTGGCCGCACCTAGCCCTGCTTTCTGGATTGACAGCACTACCTGTGTTGCTGAAACCCTCCCACTGTGAGCTGCAGTGTCTGGGACACACATGAAGGAGGATTTGGCTCAGTTAGCAAAGGCTGTAATTTTTTAAACACATGGGTTTGGCCTTTCATTGATGATAATTGACTGCCCAGATATAAGAAGTCTCATTTAAAGCCCAGGTCTAACTTTAGGTTATAATTGGTAATACAAATAAAGAGGACTTCATCGATTTTACCATAGTTGAAACTTTCAGTTTTGCCGATTGATCTTCTTAGGCAATATTTACTTTAATATAGAAAAAGACTAAACAATGTACTTTTTTTATCATTTCGGGGTCTTTTTTTCAAAATAAAATGCATGTACATTCGCTATGTATGAATTAACCCTCTGCTGTGGGAATGGAGCAAAATCAAAGCCTCTTAAAAAAGTAACTCCATTTTTTTTTGTTGAGAAAAAAATCAATCCCCGCTTTATGATCAGTGTACATTGCTAGAATTTTAGTAAACTTTGTTGCAGATTCCTACCTGTTTCTTTTTTGACGTAATAACAGTTTGTTTCAGCGTGTTTTGGAACAAGACTTCTGAATGGGTCGGTCTGTGTTCATTATAATTAGCTGGAGGACTTTCTGTGTTGTAATGAGGGAAGGTGCAGTGTCTGCACACTTTTAGTTGTAATTCTCCCTAGTGTCTCACCAAAAATGAAATTACTATTGCAAGGGATGCCTAAAATGTCACTTATGTGCAGTCTTCTGGGAAAATCAGTCAGTCAATCACAGAAGCACGAAGTGACATTTCTGGTGGTATTCTGTACACCAACTGAGTACAGAATGCTTCCAGGTCGCCATATTGCATTTAATTTTTTTGACAGTTCTAAAAAAACTAGATTGGATTGTGGGAGGAAGCCCACGCAAGCACAGGGAGAACATGCAAACTCCTTGCAGATAGTGTCCTGACCGGGAATTCAACTGAGGACCCCCAGTGCTGCAAGGCAGAAGTGCTAACCAAAACTCCACACAATTATCTGTTAATTTCCTCTAGCATTTTCTAGAATCGTTACATTGTACCTCTTGTTACTAAGATGTATTTATTTCCTATGAGGCTTAGTTCTAACTATCCAACTATCCAACAATCTTCCTTATATTTGGAGAATATTTGACCAGAAGAGAAAAGTGCTGTTTGTATTTGTATTTTTTATGCTTCTTTTTTTATTATTTTTTTATAATATAAGGATTTACCTTATTTACCTTTTATAATATAAGGACTTACCCCAAAGAGCCATAAAAACAGAAAAGAAGACAGTGGCTGGATTGTCAAATAAGTGGCTGGCACGAGCTGTACTGCAAGCAGAGCTTAGATACCAGTAGTCGCATGCCTTGTCACATAGTGGGCACATGGTGAAATTTTTGTCCTCGCTGCACATTTCCTTGCTGTGGAAGCACAAAGAGGACCAGAGTCACTTTCACTCACATTCAATTTACAAGGATGTATGGTGAAATATAAAGACTTTCATAATCTGTAAGGCATCTCTGGAACTCAACCCAGTTGTAATTATTCATGTGTAGCTACTCATACTTGATGGCTTGTGCTCCTTATTTTAAGGATAATTAGAAGCTCAGTGGATTATTTTCTAACCAGACTCATGATTAAAGCCCAACTCCGGGCCGTCAGCCCCTCCCACCTCCCCCTTCCCTCTGTTGAAGTAAACCAGCAGACCCTCCGTAGCTTTTTGGTCCTATTTTTCCTTCAACAAGGGGAGGATACTAAATGCTGCAGAGAGCTAGGCCACTCATTGCAGCATACTCCTGTGAGTCCAGGGCAGGGGGTGGAGCCTTGACACCCTGGTAAGTGAGAACCTGAATGGTGAGTCTGCAGGGGAATATCTCAGGAGATGTGTAAGTATAGCCCCTGCTTTTTTATTTTAACAGGCTTCCAGGAGACCAATTTTTGCTACAACTGCCCAAATGGAATTAGGCTTTAAAGTTAATTTCTGGTTTTGAATAAAATCAATTAAATAGGAACTATTTTTTATAAATATTCATAGACAGCAAATGTTTGCCAGAGTGGCTTTAACTGCTATACTGGAAAAAGCCCAATGTTTAAAGACCTTAATAATAACACAAAGACTGCTAAATAATTAAAGGAGTGACTCACCTCCTCTTCCTTTCTTGTCTGCACAGCTCAGCACAGACTTTCAATTAGAGAGACATAATCCAAAAGCAAACAGCTTCATCCCACTCTTTTTTGAAAACACATTAAGGTGAATCTATCAACACTGGAGCAGACAGAATCTTGAGTAAGTTGCCCATGGCAACAATCAGTTCCTAGTTTTCATTTTCAAATGGAAGAGAGACGCTGATTGGTTGCTATGGGCAACTACTCCAGATTCTGTCTGCTTCAATACTTTTTTTTTTACTTTGAAAAATGTTATTAAAGAATAATGCTGGGCACACACCTTACAACCATCGCAAGACTTTTGTCTTGCGATGGTTGTAAGGTAATTTAAAAACATACGATCTGCCTATCTTGGACAGGCAGATCTTACTTGCGATGATCGCAAGCCCGCCCCGCTGAGGGATTTGCTGCGATTATCGTACGATTATCGCAAGATGTGTGGGCATTTTAAGAATAAATACTTCAAATATTTGAACAAGGACAAAGATACAATACCCCATAAAGGTGCAGATGTCAAAGGACCATAAAGGCCAAGGTTACAAAGAAAATATACTGTATGTAGTAATGATATTATATATGTAAACAGCAAGTCAACAACATACATTAAATTGGGTAGAGCAAACTTATTTGATCTAAAAATGAAAATGAAATAAATGTAAGGAAATATCCCAGCCTTGAGGATAAGGTATAATAAGCCAGAAATATCTGCCTATGTGCTATTAATCTTTCATATTTGCAGTGGGAGGAAACTTTATGAAGGACTTCTGATATGGATGGTATGTTCGATTAGTGCCAGTTGCATTCTATAAGGAGTCTGGCTGCAAATAAGATATGTATGATTGCTGACCTATAATTCGATGGGTATAAGTCTATGGAAATACTCAATAAGGCAAATCGAGCCATCAAGCTAAACAAATAGTGTCAAAGCTTTTGAGGCTTTTTCAAGACCGAAAGTCTGTATGGGGTGAGGTACCATCTGGAAGTTATTTTTTGTGAGACTTTGTGAGAGTTAAAGCATTGGCTTTAACGGCTTCTTCCCATTGACAATCAGAAATTGTTAAATTGAGATCCTTCTCCCACCTAAACATATGGGGGCTTTGTGAAACAAGTTATAAAATCTGGAAATCCCCCCTCTGAGATTTTGAGTTTGTTGAAGTAAGTTTCAAGCTTTAGTGGGAATCATTGATGGTTTAAAGCAACTGATTTGCGATAATACGAGATTTGAGAATAGAAGTATTTATCTAGGGGAGTGAAGATACTACCTATGGAGGGAAGGTAATAATGTCCCCTCCTGTGCCAGGGAGTGAGGTTAAGGTGTGGTATGAGTAATTAAATTCATACGTTCTTAATGGTATTGCAACTACGAAAAGGGTAACATTAACCCCTCTATGGCTAGTTAGGAGGAGCCATACCTTAAGGGTGGAAAGAGTGGTAGGATAAACAGGTGGTTTAAGTTTTTTTATCTAAAGAGTAGACAATAAACCAAGCTTTAAGATCACCCATGGGGGCAAAGTTTTGTTCCATTTTTAACCATAACATTTGGGTTGGACTTTGGAACTAAGCTATGTGTTGGTCTAGTAAAGAGGCCTGATGATAATCTTTTAGGTTAGGAAAGCCCATTCCTCCCAGATGCTTGCGTCGCCATAAGAAGGAGCGTGGTACTCTACTTTAATTACTCTGCCACTGTCTGCTCCAATTTGAAGAGCCCCCATAATGTTTTGACATCCTTGTCATGGCGCACATAATATACTTATTTGTAAAATAAAGATTTTATATTCTAAATAGGATAGAAGGGTAAAAAATACAAAGAAGGCTAAAAACAAAGACTAAAACATTGACCCAAAAGTATTAAAGTTTCCTTTAGGCCTTACCTAGGAATGTCACCATCAACGGTTATACATCCATATAGAAAAACTATTATCCCAACTAAAGAGGCAGGAATTAGCAGCCATGTGTAGAGCCCAAGCCAGGCAAAATACAGTCCAATTTTTTCTCCAAAATATTTTCTGAAAAAAACAGAGCATGTTAAAGACACGAAGAAGAATTATTTCTGTAGTATGCAAGTTTATTGATAGAACAGTAAAAAAACAAAAATACAGTGTTCAAGTCTATTCTTGACAGCCAATCCCCCCTTCCCCCAGGCCCAGTGGTATTTTATGCTTTATGCTTATGCCCATGACAGTGGCGTCACAAGGGGGGAGCGGCCCACACTCGGGTGACACCATTGGGGGGGTGACACCAAAATGTCATTTTGGTGTCACCACCTCTAAAAAGTCAGGCACTCAGTCATGGACCGAGAGCCCGACAGTGTCAGGAGAGAGGAGGGTACGCGGCGGCATACCTTATTCCGCCGGGAGAATATACCCTCCTCGCTCTGCCGGCGTCCATCACCAAGATGGTCGTCGGCAGGCGTCAATTAGATAACCTCATTGCAGGGTGTCACCCGGTCTCCGCTGCGGCCTCGGGACACCCCTGGCTCATGATCTTCTTCCTCTTCAGATATTTTCCTGATGGTGAAATTTTCCCACTTAATGATGCAGAGCAGTGCTGACATGACAACGTCATCGCTACTTTCTGCATTATAACACTGTGAGTGCATTCACAGGATATCCTTAGTATTCCAGCATGAATTATGCTTGGGTGGACTGAGGACATCTAGTGGCAAAAAGGAACTACTTAGGGGAACATTGCAAGGGAGGAGGTGAGTATTGGATTGCACCTGCCATTGAAAAACCCCCCATAAATTTAGCCCAGAGTTGGGCTTTGAAGCCATTTTATAATTGTCTAAGAGCTAAGCTGGCACTTCATAATTTGCCTATATCGAATTACTGTGTAAAAATCTGTTAAACAGCAACAATGTATAGGTATTAAACAGCAGCATGAAGGTATCGCTATTCAGCTGACTGGGGTAAAGATCACAAGCTGATATCTATTCAAAATGAAACGGATATTCCAAATGGCTGGCAAAGTCAATGATACGTGTAAAATAAAGAGTAGCAGGCTGTTGTGAAAGAGCTAACTCCTTAAACTTTCTATCTTTCATTAGCTGTGTATCACATGATACACGATCAAGAGTCGTGGTTAAAGATCTCAACTTGTCTGTCATCGAAAATGTTCTAGTGCCTCTTTCCACTTCAGATCTTATCTATCTGTCTTGAAACAACGGATAATGTTTCCACAGGACAGATGTCATTGTTTCCTTGCCAGCTTCCCAAATGATTAACCATGCAAATCAGTTTTGGTAAGTTTCCCAGCTAGGTTTGTAGCCTCTGCATCTGCTGAAATGTCCCCTTAAGCTCAAGGAAATAAAAGTCTGTCTTTTTTTTTTTGCAAGTCTTTCTCATGTTTTTTGGCAAGACAAGTGAAGCGTAATTCCAGGGAAAGCTCTGGATGTTGGGACTCATTGTAATGTAAATTCCTAAATAGCCACATTTCCTAAAAAACTTAAGGATTGTGTAGTTTGTGTGGTCTAAAAAATGAATTGTGTTAGTTGGTTTGAAGGGACAGTCGCAACAAAAACTAGCATTTTAATTGAGTTGATATTGGCTGATGGATTAAAGTATACCTTAACATGTCCCTACAGGAAGTGATGAGAAATTTGCCCAGTAGGGACACAGAAGGCAAACAACAACCCGCAACAGAAGCTCTTACTCTTCCCCGTTTTATCCAAAACAAAATAAAATGCTTTGTCTGGAGTTAAGCAGCTGGCTTGGATCTTTCAGTGCAACAAACAAAATTAAAAATGTTCTCCACCACCTAGACTTTACTCTTTTCCATAACCCTTCAACAAATACTCTCCCAACCCTTACATTTACAATAACACTGTTAACACTTAACATTCCCTGAAATTGGTAATAGACAGAACTGGAGAACCTTAACTCTCACACATCTATCTACTCCTGCTAACGGAACCTTGGTACCAGGTGCTGGCACTCGAAATGGGATCAGTCCAATAATATCAATTTGTTCCCAAAAAGACATAAAAACGGTCAATGACAATCTTCTGACACATTTCCCTGCCACAACTGAGCCTTGGTCATTTGCTACATACAGTCTCTTTGCCGAGATCATACAAGCCAAGATCTTTGTGTGAGTTAAAATAATTTGCTAAAAGTAAATATTTTCTGCTTTGCAAAAGAAAAAAGGATTAAAATATTCCACAAAACTTAGTAAGGCTTTCTATTGATCAGCATGGGGAAAAATGGACATTACCTGAAACGAATAAGCTAGCTTTAAAACTGACTCAATAGTTAAAAATATTCAGTAAAGAAAGAACGAACAATTAATTTTATTTTTTAAAACATATTTCAGCAATAAAGTCATTAAGATTAAATAAAAAAAAGATTTTATGTATACCAGTGCAATCTTGTTAATTATATTTTGTATTATTAAATAAATCACATATAGCTACCATAATGTTACCTTATTAGATCAATAGGTTGATATTTGTAAAATGCTCCATATCTTGCCCATTCTCTGTGTAACAACTAAATAAAAAGAAAACATAAGTTTTAACATTAAAAAATGTTTAAAAAAATACATTTCTCAAAACTAATTTACCAAACCTCAGTAAACAAAAAAGCATCAACACTGTGTCAAATGTGATTATAAATCAAATCTATAATTTTAGTAAAAATGCAATAACATTAATTTTAGTATCCCCCAATACCCATTACAATTTTTAGTACTCAGATATTTTAAAATAGAACATAAAAGACAAGAATGCATCAAGTAAATAGATGCCAAATATGTCAAGCTTTACAATAGTGTGCACCCACATAAATTGCACAAAAGCTAAGTTTTGCACTTTATCAATTTAAAGTTAATCATTATTAATGGCCCCCTTTATGTAGTCAGGTGTGTTTTAGGTGCACATATTTTTACATATTTATTAGATTTTATTATTTTTAAACTTATTTTTATTTTATTTTTAACTTTATATTTCTTTGACATGGAGTTTGCACCATATCCGATTGCTTTTTTTTAGATGAGAGGTGCTGCTTAGGGAGACATCAAGGATCTATTAGACCCCTAATGCCTCCCTTGCACTGTGTCTAAGCAGACTAACTAAAACGAGTCCTTATTCTGCTGTTTTTCTGGCCACAGCCAGCCAGGATTTGGCATCCTTGAACCCAGAAGCACACCAATTCCATTTTTACATTACAGGAGTAAGAAGTATTAATGACTGGATTTTCCTCAGTCTCTCTCCACTGAGCCACGTGATGTAATGTTTTTGTAGTCCTGGTCTCACAGGAGCAGCAGGTGAGCCCAGGGAACCACTGGGGAGGGGGCGTCTCCCTCAGCTACAAAAATCATCCACTCCATTTTCCCTTACAGATTTTTTTTTTTGTGTAATGGTTATATAAGATACATTTATAAAAGTGAACATCACTCTCTTCCATTCCTTGCAATCTGATTAGTGTTTTTCAGGAAATTAAACACTGAAACTATTATGTAGATAGAAAACAGATGAAGAATAGAGGAATGGTAAGGCAGGTTCTATGACTGGGCAGCCATGTGTGAATAATCAGAATAGTATTTTTGGAAAATACTTTTTTAATGTTTTTAACACTTAACACTTCATAAAAGGACCTAACAGGCAGGATAAAAGCGAACACGGCTGTAAAAAAAACAATCTCTGCACCTCATAGCAGAAACAATTTTCTCTATATTATTATAAATACACGCTGCTCACTGTTATCCTTACATTTACTTTGGATTAACAATTATTTCAGAAAGCTACCTAAACACAAATGGTAAAATAACTTCATTAAAAATGTACAGTAAAGTCTCTAGCTTTTTTTGTTTCTAAAAAAAATGAAATAATTTTTTTATATATATAGAAAATATTTTATAAACAGCTGCAGACATTCCTGCATGCAGGACCTCAGTTATCCTGAGTGATCATTGTCCAATCAGTTACACTATATGGAATTCACAAGCAGAAAATGTCATGACGCGGAAGATTGCTCTAATTAGACTTCATATGAAACAGTTTGGCAATTATTCCTTTTAAATAACACATCAACTTTAAATCCTAGAAAAATATAGGTGGCCTCTTTTTGTAATCATATGTTTTGTATATTGCTTAGTTTAAAACTCCTAAAAGTATAGTTAATATTAATATGTTGATATTTATTTGTAAAAATGTAAACAGAAAATAACAGAATATTGGCCTGGGAATTTTGTGATTGCTGCAAGGGATTCGAAGGGTTTTATTTATGGATATCTCTAAATTTATGACCTGTTGGGACTTTAAAAACATTGCCTACAGACAATTTGGGGTACCGTATTTTGTTGCTGTTTAACGGTCACACGCAATCTTTAACCTGGGTATGTTGGGTATCTATTCACTCGTTGCCACCTCATCTTTTATACTTTACAAAAATATGGGTATTATATTCTGTTTCTGCACACTAAAATTAACTTAAATGTAATTTTTACTGAAATGTTGGGTTTAATAAAGAGTTGTTCTAATGTGCGACATAAAAATTTGCAACTGTCACCATTTTATTCAACAAGGTTTTTAATTTTAGAATATGTCAAATGTTTTGGGGTTTTAAGTAATTTTCCAAGCCTAAAATGTGGATGATAACGTGTGCAAAACCGCAAAAAAAACCAAAAAAAAAACCTTGGCAGTGAAAGGGTTAAACAGTGGCTGAGCTTTACTGCTCTTTCCCACAATTAAAGTTTATGAGTTGGTCAACATACTGAAAACAATGCATTCCCTGCAAGCTTTAGCACTTCCTGGTAGTGTTAAAGGCCCAACTCTACTGGACAGTGAGGCAGTGAAAGAAAGTGTAGGAGGTGAAAGCCGAAGGC